TCTATCTACTTTTTGGGGACTATAACCATCTTACCGTCCCCTTCATACCCGCCAAGCCTCAATATCTTAGGTCTCATAGATTGAATATCTGTCAGCAAGCGCTGCATGCACCTACTTGTGAATGAGGGAGCTTGCTTCAAAAATCTTGCATGACCTGACTAGACTAGAATACCCAAATTCCAAAGGTATAATGTACTGATTATCGGGCAGGATTTCAGTATCGACAGCGTGGGGATTTAGCAAGGGGATACCTCTAGGGATAGCGATACCGGGGCATTACCAAGGAATTATGGGCATCACCGTTAAGGCTTCAATTCTGAACGGCTCAGTTTGAGAAACTCCCATGAGCTGCTGCGATGTTGGCGGTGAATAGTCCCATATTATGCAGTCGGCAATAGTCATCCCTGTGACCCATTCCATCATCCCCTACTATGCACCAGGTAGGCTTCCGAGCTCAGGGCTTTTGGCAAAGGACTGCCCGGCGAAGGACTGCGCAGTCGCCTCGTTCAGGAAGGACTCATATAGGGCGCCTGGGTTGCAAAAGGCGTGAGCTGGCATGCACGCCATGCATTTCCGGCTAAGAAAAAAAAAGGTCCCTGAAATGAGGACTCTGCATTGACTCTACATGTTTGTATGTGAAAAGGGGGGGGGGGTTCTGGAAGACCCCGATACCTGGCTGGGTTTCAATCGGCGGTCTGCATGCAGTGACAGGTTGCATTTAGTCTGCATGATCAACACCCACTCATGGATTCTCTCCCTGCGCTTGGGAACCAGTCTATATGGCCAGAGTTTGGGGTTTATCGATACATAGAAGGACCTCCTATATACCCTCCTATACTAGACCCATTGTTTTAGGTACCCCAACAAGGGACCCCTAATTCTTGGAGACCCGATTGTACCCCCACGCCCTATAAATCCCTGCATACCCCTGCATGCTAACGGGTGGAGTTTGTTTTTGACTTTTTTGTGTCTGTGACAGTTTAAATGAAGGGATCACCAGTTTTCGGAACAAACCCCCCCGCCCTGATCTTCGGACAGGCTGCCAGGAGCTGTGTCGAACTCGGCTGCAGCCGGCTCATCATAATCACGGCTAGTGAAGTTCAGCCAGACGCCGCCGCCCCTGTCAAACTTCTTGGAGATCTAGTAACTAGCCAGGAAATCATAAGTAGCATGGTAAGCCCAGATACAAGTAGTTACTAGGCCCCATGAATCTCCAAGTTGGGATAAAAACCCCAAAGATATAAGCAGTTCATATGCGAGGGTATCGTATATGCTTTGATTGTAGTGTCAGACTTAGAGTGCGACCGAAATAATGGAGAGGCACATGAAAAATGCAATGGAAACTGGGAGGAAACAGGGATCTAAGAGGAGCCAGGTCAGCATATTACGAAACACTAGCGTGGTCTAGAATATCAGTAGCTATGAGGGACTTTAAAATCTCACCTGGTGATAGCTCGTTTTTTTCCGAACTAGGTTAGACTCTCAAGACCTAGGAAGCGAGCAGCCCAGGTTATTAGCGTGTAATAATCATACAGCCCCTTCTAAGTACAAAGTATTGTAAACAACACTCAGAGCTGTGGCCTAAACCCTTTGAACTTTTTGTTCTCATTTGTTATGCTATCGCGGACGCCAGTCGCAATACTGACTCGCCCAGGGAATAGCTGACGCGGACGCATCTTTTCAAACTGTACTGACGCGAACGCGAACTATCGCGGCTTGATTTCAAGCTACTGCACCTCATTTCA